CCAGTTAATTTGTATTTACCAAAAAACAATGTCTTTCGGGGTCAAGAGTTCGACAAATAAACATTAAGATCATAAAAGAAGAATAGCTTTTTCGTATGAATGGAATCTTCGAGGTCCATTGAAAAGTTTAGGTTTGCATGTGAATTATAAGAATTTGGGATGAGAAAAGTTATATTCAACTGTATTTTCAACAATATAATCTTAGCACTTTATTAAATAGGATCCCTTAATGGACAGGCTATAAACAGAAAAGCGACAGCAAATTTTCTTAGAAACAAAAGTTATTTACACATGAATTGAATCTTAATATTTCTTTCCCATGAGAAATGTTACTTGTCTTGCTTTTCTACACTGTAGCTTCTTCTATATCGTTCTGATTGAGGCTTTCTTGTGATTAAATTAACCCAAGATGTATATAAAAATTTGGTATTTGAGTAATTGGGTCCAATTAAAAGTGCTAAAAAAACAATTTAATACAAAATTGTAAGCTTATCTTTTATTTTTTATTTTCTTATCACCGGAAAATTCAATGGCTCGAAGAATATTGTAGATTATACAATAAGGAAAAACTCTTTATTTTACTAACAAATTGATCAAAACTCTTATGATCCAACAAGTCAACCTCTGTCTATTCCTGATACAATCGAAAAACAAATGTACCACAATTATTATTATTTTTTAATACAGAATGCAGTTCTTAAATTTGAGAAAAATAATTTAATGATTTCTCTTTTTTTTTTACAAAATGCAGTTTATTATCCGAGTAAACGTGTACTTTTTCTAGAGATCCAAGAATAGAGGAATAGCGACATTGAATCCTGAGTAAAATGCATGATTTAGACCATTCGGCCTCGGGGACTTTTTAAATTGTTGTGGACTAATAGAGGCAGTGAGCATATTTTATCTCCTGCGGTATATATTTTGATAGTGATTTCTAAATGCATTCAGATGAATATGAAAAATATGTTCTTTTTTTGAATGAACTCAGAAACAGGAATTTAATCTTGCCAAATGCATAAAGTACCGAGAATAATTTAATTAGTGTGTGCAAAATAGTCAGTTTGGTTTAAATCAAACCTAACTGGAGTAAGACAAATTGAAATATTTGAAATGAAAATTGAATCGAATTGATTGATTTTTAACTATTCTTATGATTTTGAGCGTATTTTTTTATATTTATAAAAACTGGACCAATCGAGTCGAAATAAAAATTTTAGCTTTTTATTTATAGAAATTCAATTAAATTTTATTTGTTAAATATCAAACCGGTTCAGTCAGTTGGATCAAATTATTCTTAGCCTTGCTCTTGACCGTTTCGAAAAAACAAAAGGTAAAATAGGATAGTTCGATTGAATTTTTCTGTAAGATGGACTACTGTTGTCGGTCATTTTCCTAGCATTTGGGGTTGTAGACCTCAAAGACCAACCAAACCTTTGACCAAATAAATAAATAATTAAGCTAAACCCCATGTTACTGCAACTGTTGCCCCAACAAAACCGTTTAAATTCAAATATAAATGAAGAATAAGATTGAAAAATTCAAGCAAATATCATGTGATCTAACTAGAACATAACGACTAACGAGACTCAGCCAAACGAATCTTTCTAATTCATATTGAACCATTTATGCATATATTCAAACGATTAATTAATTTCAACTTAGATCTTTCAACCTGTGCCTAATAATCCAAACAACTGTTAGGTTCCTTGAAACCCAGATTGAACCACTACCTGTGATATTGTCAACCATCAACCTAATATCCTTTTCCCATCAACATTTCATTTTCCTTTTTTTTTTTTAAAAAAAAAAAGGAAATCTCCATCAAAATCTGCTCCATAATTACTTTTTTTTTAGTTGAATTATATATAAAAAAAAATATTCCCTTTATTCCAAAATTATAGACCAGATTTTTTTGCATGGTTTTAAGAATAGTTAATTAAAATTGTTTAACTATAGCACTTATTCTTATTTTTAACTTTTAAAATAGGATGAATGATTACTGTATTAAAATTTCGAAATTAATTATACCAAGATGAAAACTAATAAGACCATCACTGGATTTACTTGATTAATATGATTATTTGCGAGATAATCCCAAGTAGGACAATATTACTGTTCAAATGTCATCATTGAGAGTAAAAAAGTTTTTCTGCGATATGATGCCCTAATTATTAGTGGATGAAGAAAGAATAAGAACATTTAGATAGTGGAGTGTTATTATTATTATTATGCTGATTGTTATTATTGATTATTTTGTTGCGTACAAGATATTTTCCCTATCTCAAATAATGTTCACACATCACTAATTTGGATATCCTAAATTAGTTATCAATTTCACTATTTTAATAAAAAAAATCAACAAATTAAAAGGATATTGTAAAAAATACGAACCTTTCAAATAATTCATGCTCATTAACGTAGAAGAAAATTATCGTATCCATTGTATTAGTTTAGAATACCAACTAATTAATTACGGAGAAATAATTTAAATGTTTAATTTGTGATTTAAAATAGAGTTTACTATTTATTTTGTTACGATTATTTGCAATCACACACTCAAATAATTATTACAATTTATAAAAGAGCGATTCAGAAGAGATGTCTTTTGTTTCTTTTCCTTATTCACAAGGCGGTTGCCAATGAACTAGACATATTTAGGTTAAAGATGGAAACTAGACTTAGCTTATTTATAAAGGATCCTATGATCTTTCTATCACAAGTTTTTGTAGGATTAGATTTATATTTTTAACCGTCTTACCATACTGGTCCACTAGCGATATACAAACCCATTATACAAGTGACCATGTAAATACAAATTAAGCTCTATAAATAAATATTTTTAAACTGTATTTATTCTCTTTTTGCAAACTAAAATAGCCACAATTAATAACTACTCACATTAAAGTTTCTATTACACTATGCTTAGTATACACATCAAAATATATAATTGACAAAGTGCTTCATTGGAAATGCTTTTCTTAATTTTGGTGCCAAAACTAGACTATAATTTGGAGAAAAGGGAATATTATTTATCTCTCTTTATTTTTTTAGAAACTCTCTTTAATTAGTTTGGTAAATAGTAAAAAAAGAAGTAAAGTTTAGAATAAAGGTGTTAAAATGAATTAACGTGTAAGATTCATAACTAACATGCGACACGATTAAGGTAAACACGAAAATTAAATGAGTGACATAAACATCACGCGTGTAATCCCTTAATTAAATCGCTGATATATAAGTTAAAAAATTCAACCATATTTAATTAAATTGATCGTATACAGGTCAGAAACACGACATGTATAGCACGTCTTATATATATATGAAATTATATTTTTATCCTTAAATAAACGCGTTAGAAGGGTTACACAAAAATATATAGCACGTGACCCGTTTAAATTTATGTCATATATGAATCACTTCACGACACGTTTTTATTTAATTTTCATGTTAGATGAATTATATTCCCGGATCATGATCCATTTTGACACCCCTGTTTCACGGACTTAGTCAATCACCCATCTAGTAAAGATAGAAGGCCAAGGATTTAATTAAATATATGTTAAATGACAAATATAACTTAAAATTAGTAAATTTTACTAAAAAAAGTAGATTTAAATTAAAATGGATTAAAATTTGTAAGATTTATTAAAATGAACTTATTTAAAAATGGTAATTACCATTTTTATTAGCAAATCAACTAAATTCGGTTGATCCATCCGGTTATTTTAATTTTTTTTTATTCAATTCAGTTAGGTTAATAATTTAATTGAGCGGGTGGATTGATTCTCAATGGATTTAGATTAAAATGGATTTAGGAGTGAGATCTCAGCTATTAATTTTCGATTTCACCAGTTGAACTAATCGAATTTACCAATTTTTAAAATATTAATAAAATGTATTAAATTATTAATTCAATCTGATATGATTTTCTATGTGAGTAAGTAACAAGTTCTTTGATTTGAATCGTTCACTCACTATTGAGTGTAAATTTTATGAGCTTGTCTATATAAAAACGAGCTTATCTCAACTATTAATTTCAAAATTGTATAGAGATGATGAATGCAATTATATTTATGTATTTGATTTATATCAATAGAAATTTTTAAAATTTAATGACAAGTTAAATATCTTAATACCTTAAATTTCACGAATTAAAAAAAAAATATTATCAATCATCATTTTAGATTAGTGATAAAACTAAAATCAGACTAATTAAAAGTCAATTTTTAAATCTTATCAATAATAATTTTTTAAAGAAGAACAATGATGTTGTTTATAAATATTTTTTTAAAAAAAAAATTTTATCTTACAATTCAAATTTCAAAGTAGTGGATTTAGCAGCCAAGCCTTTTCAGATCATAGTACGGTGTAACATTTATCCTCTTTGCTTTTTGTGCAACGCTTATCCGTTCTTGCAGTTCTACTTCTGCCTTCTGGTGCTCCAAAAACAATCCAATCTATAGCCCCACACAACAGCGTCTTTTGCTTTTCTGCATGAAAAGATGGAAAGAAAACCCATCAAAGTTTGCTTAGTGGGAATCTTAAATAAAATTATAATTAAAAAAATTATTCAATTTTATACGAACTTTTAAGATTTCATAATTTTATAATCTTAATTTATTAAATAAAATTACAATTTTATAATTTTATACTTTCATTTTCAAAATATAAGTAGTGTTTGAATGATTATTTTATTCTAAATAATTATTATTTATTCAACTTATTTTCTAAAAAGTGAAAATATCAGACAATATTAAATTTTGTCGTTATGGATTTGAATTTTCCACTTTTTATATTGCTTTCACATGCTCATTATGACTTTCTTAGAAAACTTAAAAAAAGAAAAACAAAAAGAAAAGAGAGAATTTCCTCTTATTCACACCACACCAAACTTTAATTCAATTAATTAGCTATTAATTACAATTACTATATTAATCCTGTTATATTTAGCTTCACCTTACTATACACCAATGTCACATCTCTCACTCTCTCTCTCTCTATATATATATATACACAAAAGACGTGTTGCAATGTCTCATATATGACAATACTGAGTGTTAGACAGAAATGGGAAATAGCATAGGCAGAGGAAAGAAAGCAAAGATAATGAAGGTTGACGGCGAAACCTTCAAGTTAAAGACTCCGGCGAAGGCTATGGACGTAGTCAAAGACTATCCAGGGCACGTTTTGTTAGATTCCGACGCTGTTAAGCATTTCGGGATTCGTGCCAAGCCATTGGAGCCTGAAATGGAACTGAACCCCAAGAAAATATATTTTCTAGTTGAATTGCCAAAACTTCCTGAAGAGAAAGAGCCTATCAGTATTACAAGACGGGTCCGGTCAGGAATTCACTTGAGTGCTAAAGATAGGCTTGAGTTCTTGATGTTGTCGAGAAGATCAGTTTCTGACCTTTCTATTGTTAGACCATTACCGAGTCAAATTCCTGACGACGGGCACAATGGCTCCGGGCCGGTCAGAGTCAAAATGAGGCTTCCTAAAGCCCAGATGGAAAAATTGGTAGAAGAAAGCAAAGATGAAGTTGAGGTGGCTGAAAAGATTGTTGATCTTTTTATGGAGAATTCCGGTGACCGGAATCGGCGGCAGTGGAAGCCAGAACTTGGTAGCATAGGAGAGAACCTTAAGCCACGCGAGGTATGGTGAAATTATATTTTATTTTTTGAATTTATTGGAATTTGATAATTAATATAATACTTATCACATTTAGAATCTCGTATTTTTTAAGAAAATTATTAAAATTTGTCTAAATTACAATAAATTATTGAGTAAATTGATTATATTACTCTTAATTTGATACTAATTTTTCTAAGAAAATCATTAAATTGAAGTAATTATTATTAGTCATATATAAAGGATAAATATAAAAAAATTAAATTTATTACTTTTTAAAACTACAGATATTTTAGAAAAAATTGTTTTCTTAAATGCGAGAAGTATGAAATGGAGGCAGTACATGCATATCCCCTCAATTATGGAGCAAATTAAGCAATTAGTGAAAATATATTATAATAAATAAGGTGATTATGGTACATTGCCATTTCTTCATTCTTCTTACTAAATTGCATTTCTTAATTGGATTATTAAATTTAGTTTAATTTCTACTGTAGTAATTATGCCATAATTAGAATGCATATAGCTTATTTTTTAAAAAATGGGCATTTGCTGCAGAAACTACAAATTTTTTAAAAAAATAAATAAGGAAATATTATAACAAATATTTTATTTTATTTTAAAAAATAAAATTATGTAAAAAAAAAAGTTGAGGTTGAAGCGGCTTTCATTTTCTGTATTCATAATGTGGGTATTGAAGAAGACATATTTCCTAATCTTATGCATGGCCCTTAAAAACAGAACAATAAAGACAATTAAGGTGCCCAATTTGACTTTGAAAGCAATGTAAGTAAGAAGTCAAATCCAGGGGGCTAATTTTAAGGCACAACATGTGGTTTTATTTAAGTAGGCTCAAGTGGGTCACATGCCCTTTGGACATAGTCTAATTTTTATCTCCACCGTTGCAACTACCAAATATTTGGTTGTCCTTGGTTGTCCTTTAATGCCAAATGAGCCACAAATTTTCAAATTTGGTACTCTTACTTTAGGGTAAATGGCCTAATTAAGCATAATTTATTAGGCCATTGAAATATAATAATCTACTTTTTTTATTATGTAGAGATTAAAAACTGTTTGAACTTGAAAAATGTCAAATTTTTCTTATAAATTTAAGTATGTTTTTTGAAATTGTTCAGCGAGGCGACTAGCCATGACGCGCGTAAATTAACTCAATATATATTTTTTTCGATAAGTATTAAGAAAAATATGACTAACCCCATTTTTTTTATGATGTAAATTTGCAGAAGCGAGTGAATTTTGCACCAGATGATGGAGAAATTCAATTAGCTGTAGGCTCCCATTGGCAATGATGAACAAGAATAAAGCTTCAACAGAAGAAAACCAGAATTCTTGGTTATTTTTTGGTGCCTTTTGTAATGCTATGCATGCAATTTCCATATGTATTAGTTAACAGATGTATATATTTATATCAGTATGTAGCTAGCTAGTGGACATCGATGCATGTGCTTTTTTTAACTATTTACCTAGCTTATTAATTGCCTTCTCCATTAAATTTTTTCTGCATTTCTTACCTTCTTAGCATTTTTTTTTAATTATGTCAAATGGATTTAAAAAGTTCAACTAATTAAGTTTTAGGATAATAATCTTCAACCTAGCATTTAAGTAATGAAATATCATTTTTGTATATAAACAAAATGCAAAGTCAACATTTCACTATAAGACAAAATATATGTTTGTTAAAAATAAATTAATTATGTAAACTTGGCCAAATATGGTTGCAAATCACATCAGCAGAAGAATATTATCAAACTAAGCTTAGAAACAAAAGAATGGGAGAAGTTGTTGGAAACATGGGAAAATATATATATTTAGAAAAATAATTTTCAAAACTAAAGTAATAATTTTTAATATTAGAGATATTTATAATCTTATGTATCAGTTCAAACATCATATTAGAAATTAAAAGCTTCTTTGTCTACACTTGAAGAAATATAGGGATTCTTTTATAAATGAATCTCATATCTATTAAATTGGGATTGAAGATTTTTTTTTTTTTTTCCTACCATCTGTGTCTAAAGCCCACTCTCTGTCAAATCTTAAAGATGTTTTATACTCAGAGCTCAAATTTGATAAATGGTTAACCGAATTTAGGGGCTTGTAAATGGGCGGTTCGGTTCCAAACCATACCAAACCAAAAAAAGATTTTCTTTGAAATTGAACTAAACCAAAATAAATTCAAAAATCGAACCAAACTAGTCAGTTCGATAGACATTAGTTCGATCAAACGGTTTGATTTTACTCAAAAAATAAATGATTTGGAATAACTGATTCAAAGACCGAAAACTGAAATTATGAAAGATTTCAAACCGAAGTCGAAACTGAAAACCGAATAATCGAATCAAAACCTAAAATAATTTGATTCGGTTCAATTTTTGGCTTTTTCGAAAGTTTGCTCACCCCTAAGCGAATCAACCGAATGTTGATTCCAAAATTTGGACTTGAATTACTGTTCTAGCACAAAAAAAATCACCAATTGAATTGATCTACGAATTAATCACCCATGGAAAAATCCCTTTTTGTTCCCTGCCTAAATGCACAAAGTGTTGTGGAGAATTTATCTGCTTCAAGCCTTCAATCTTGTTTCTTTTCTTCTCTAACACTGTTTGGCTTAATATATTGTTTCATCTTGAACTTTGAACTGTGTTGCAATTTCACTTTATTCTGGTCTTTATATTAATTTCACCTTGAACTTTGATATTCTATTGCAATTAAAACCTAAATTAAAAAAAAAAAAAACATTAATATGAAACCTACTATCAACTATGGGTTAATTCAATCTTAAATACATATATAGTTTTTTTCATTTTACAATTATAAACTATAATTGATTATAATTATATCTCGTATTCTATTTTGACAAAAAAAAAATGTGACAATTTCTAATAATTTATAAGTCAAATAAATTCATAGTAGCTTTGCTTTTAGATTTTATAATTATTTCATAATTTATATTAAAATCAAACCATAATAATAATTATATTCTAATTTAAAAAATGTTCTTGTATCAAATAATTAATTTTTAAAAATTATTTATTATTAATTAAAGAAATAATTTAAAAATATTAAAAATAATAATAGAAATTGTCCCTACTATTAACCCAAACTCTTTCATTTACACAAATGTATTAAGCAATCCAAGTCCAAAGTCAAGAGTGAACATATTTTTTATTTATAATTTATTAAATCTTAATTATAATTTAGGGTGTTATTCGAATAAAAAATTAAAATTTAGAGTGAAATTAATGTAAAAATCAAATCGGAGTGAAATTGCACAAAACCTAAAGCGTAGGAGGAGGAGGAGAAGTGCCAAAGTTGTCATGGGCTGGTCCTCGATCATGGATGGACTAGCCCAAGTCCAATGGTGATGAGTACAACCCAATAAAAAAAAAAAAAAAGGGCTTATAATAGGCATGAAAATCATAATAGAACTGGCTTACCAATTCAACACATTATTTTGTTTACTATTTGAGTTTGTCATTTTTTCATAAATTTAATAAAATGATTCTCTTATATCAAAAGGAAAAAAAAAAAGTGGTTTTCTCATTTTCTATATCAAAGTATTTTAGCCCTTCAATTACTGTATAAAGCAAGAACTCCAACGACTAATATTAAATTATTTGCTTAATAACATAAAATTAATTTATATACACCTACTTATGAAATGACTACATATATATTTATTCACATATAGAATCAATATTAGTCACATAATTTTTAATGTGTTGAAGCCAAACACTATTAAATCAAAACTAATTAATGTTGATGAATAAGATGTATTTTTCCCAAAGTGGATCCTAGAAATCTCCAACTTATATATTTTCAATTTGATTAACACCTACTTATGAAATGACTACATATATATTTATTCACATATAGAATCAATATTAGTCACATAATTTTTAATGTGTTGAAGCCAAACACTATTAAATCAAAACTAATTAATGTTGATGAATAAGATGTATTTTTCCCAAAGTGGATCCTAGAAATCTCCAACTTATATATTTTCAATTTGATTAATGATTAGTATCCACTCCAACTTATATATTTTCAATTTGATTAATGATTAGTATCCAACCGTAAAGAATGAGATTCATCGTTTGACTAAAAGCCTACGCTACCAGGCTTGGCTCCAATTTATATATGAATTAGAATTTTCAATTTTCATATCTAGCTTTTGAGGTATAGTTCTATTAAATTCATATCAAATGCTTTTAATAATGGATGTAAACTAATTAATTTTTTGTGCACATATCAAGTACTTCAGTTTTACTAAATGTTAAAATTATTAATGGATTTTGAGTATATTATCAGGTTAAACAGAAAAAATTTTTATAAATTTTATTTATTAAAAATAAAACACTATGGGCTACGTAATAGAGTTAGGCATGATCACGGTTTGATTATGAATTGAAACTGAACCGAAATTAAACCGATCAAAACTAGAACCAAACCATTGTCAACGGTTTAAGGTTTTAAATTATAACCGAAACTGGATATTTAAGGTTTGGTTGCAATTCTTTATATTTTAAAATTAAAATTGACGATTTCGATTTTTAACCGAAATTGGATTTTTTATATCAAAAAGAAAAATATAAAAGAAAGATCACATTTGATTTTAATTGTAAAAGGGATATTGATAATTTCAATGTCTGAACTCTTTAATTTTTTCTATTTGAGTGCGTAGCCGGAAAATATTTTCAGTGTCTAAATGTTTTAAAAATATAATCAGGTGTCTGTAGCCCACTTCCATTACCAGATTGCTAACTGCGCAGATGTGGGCCCCATTTTTAATGACGTGTCACACGACGTGTAATAAAAGAAAAATACACGTTGAATCCATGTAGATATGTTTGTGAAATCTCAAAAATACCATTACTTTCCCATCTCTCATCACGTTCAAAACTATTTTAGGGCAAAATATCCTTTACCTTTGCGAATAGAGAATGCAGAAGAAGAATCAATGGACTATAGCATCTGTAGATGTGGATTGGGATGCCTTATGAGAATTTCATGGACTGAATGAAATCAAGGAAGGCGTTTCGTGGCCTGTGAAATTCGCTCGGTTAGTATGTTAGCTTGTTCTCTAAATTTGAAGCCTTTATGTCGTGGAAAGTTAAAAAAATTCAGTTAATTTCATCTATTTCACTTTCCTAAAGGTGGATCATAGTCGGGGATGTGATTATTTTCAGTGGATGGACCTGATCATGGGAGATACAGCATCGAAAATTATACCATGCCTATTAAGGAGCAAGAACGAGTTAGAAGAGCAATTGTAGATAAATTGGAGGCAGGAGAAGCTGCTTTGGCTGTGGGTGGTCATCTCATTGCTCATTATTATTTTCAATTGACTTCACTTATAATAGTTTATAGTAATGATCATGGGAGGCGATGAGAGGTGTTAATTTGGTGATGATTTTTTATCGGTGAACTAATGTAGTTGAAATTAAGATAGGCGATGTTTATTGTAGGATTTCAAGGAAGTCTCACCGTGATTCTCATATTTGTCTTTTGTAATGAATTTTGATGGAATGAAAAAGAAAACAAATTCTGAAATGGGTTTTGTATTTGTTATTCTTACACTTCCTACACCTTTTTGGTAAAATGCCTAAAAGAATTTTCATTTATTTTTTATTTGCATTTGAAATGAAAAGCAATAAAGTCTTACACTTGTTTGATAAAATGTCTAATGAATTTCTATTTGTTTTGTGTTTGCATTTGAAATGAAAAGCAACAAAGTCTCAGAGGCCATAATGATGCACTGTAACTATTTAACAAAATGCCTAAAAGAAAATCATCACTTCCATACATTGTTTAACAAAATGCATGAAAGCATTAACAATTGCACAAACTTCTCAATTAAATAGTCAAATTTGGATAAGAACAAAAATTATTCCATTTCACTTAAGGGATACTGTCATACATTACATGAAGCCTTCAATACTAATATAAGCATGATCCCAGAAATATAAAAAATACATTGATTCGAGGAATAGAATAGTATTCTTTGCCGCGAATTACAAAATAAAATGTTATATTATCCTCTAAAAATTAGTTCAAACATTATGTTATCGAACACTATAAAAAAATAGCATTTAGCATTTCAAAACCCTAAAACTACTTAAAAAGTTGTTGCAGAAAACAACCTTAAATTTTTGCTTAGATCACTTTGTGGGTTAACCTAATAAATTTACTCATAACACCCAAATTTGAAATGATCCAACCCTACATGATCCGAAGCATTAAAAGAAAATTATAATAATTAAATTTTGATTTTGTATTATAGAAGATTGTAACTTCAAAACCTAACAACTCCGATCCTAAAAATTTTCATTAACACTTTGTTCAAATTATTTCTTTACATATATTGGGAAAAAAAAAAAATGAAGCTATTAGCTCTCTGCAGTAAGCACAGACACAAGAAAGGAAACAGAGGAAGAAGAAGAAGAATCAACGCATAATAATAAGTTAACATGGACATCGATCCTCTACAAGAAAACCCCTTAATTTTTCCAAGAAAAAATTTTATCGCTAATGTTTTCTTGATTCTCATCACGCGATTGATCAAGTAGAAGATTACCTTCACAATCATACTCAATTTTCCCAGAAAAATCCAAAGGACGACACCTTTCACCCATCATAATTGTCTTCCTCCAAATTGCTTCTTCACTTTCATCATCATCATCATCATCATCATAAGAATTTTCTTGATTTGCTGGCATCTTCTTCCAAGAAACCATCTTCACCATTAAATGAGCCTTACTGCTCAACTTTGAGAGGAGTCTTTTTTCACTCGAGTGTGATGATGATGAAAAACAACTATCTGTTTCCTCTTTTTGTCTACTTGATCTCTTGATCTTATTATGAAAAACACATGGAAAAGCTGTAAGAGAAAACATACTGAGTATTGCTATGTAAGTATGTTGGAAGGTTTTGGTTGTGGAGGCTTAATAAAGGCCTTGCCGTCTCTATATATAGAGAATAGATAGGCTTTGGTTGAGATTTAAACTTTACAATTTCATTTTCAAGATCCTGTATATAATTTATAATCCGGTCCATCAATATGTATTTTTTATTAGTAAAAAAGGGATTCCGAGATATATAAGTCAAAACTTAGGAAACTAATATTTTTATTGTATCTTGATTAATTATTAAATTAATTTATTTATTGGTTTAACTAACGTAAACTCAATAAAATATATGAAGAAAATTGTATTAACGAAAGTGGACAACATTTTCAGATAAACTTTATTTTCAAGTTTTAGGATTTTAAGATAAAGAGTTAGTGTATTTGTAAGAATTTTACCTTAATGATACTCTCAACTGAGCATAAAACACATCGTGAAAAAAAATCAACAGAGTATTTATTAATTACAAAGAATTGAATATAAAAAATTAAGAATTTAACTACTTTTATCTCTTTAAAAATTATATTAATTTGTGTCTATATTTTTTTTACCATTATACACTATTATCTTTCCTTTAAAAAATATAATTTTTTTCTATTAAGTAGCTTGTGAAAAGATATAAATACTCTTAAATCCCTCATAAATTTGTGTTTTCTATCTAAATTTAAATAAATTCAAGAAAAAAAGAATTAAAAGGCATTCCCAGCATAAAAATTAAAACCATATGATCAACTCCTCCATTAGACTTCAAAACAAAATTCAGAAATGAAAAACAACTCAGAGTGAACAAAAATAAAATATAAAAATATATCTTAGCCTTTTGAAAATTTAAGGGAAAAAAATGAAAATATTTTTGGAATGATGAAATAGTTGGACGAAAATAAAATAGTGTATTTAAAAAAAATAGAAAGAAAAAATAATTAATTAACATAACATGGAAAGAAGTTTATAATTTTTCTTTAATCAATTGCCTAATCTAGACTAGTCTCCAAATCAGCGGTTAAAATAGTGTTCAAACTTCAAAGGTCAAAAATCGGAACGCGCAATGAGGTTGCACTGTGTAGGCCCACCGCGGATGCTGACATGTCAATGTGGTGCATAGTAGTGAAATATATTCCAGGCGTCTAGTTCACGTTCAACGTTGACTTGACCAATGCCTCCACTTCCGAGTCGTCTTTAAAGGTTTAACGAAGTCAGTCTAATATGATCATGAATCATTATCTACTCCATTGGAAGAAAATAATTTTCCACATCTAAACATCTAATCTATTATTTGGTAATGTAACATAATCAAACTAACGTAAATAAAATTATGAGAATATGAAATTATCTATAAATTTCTTTAAACATGTATTAAATATATTATTTTGATTTTGTCGTTAATTGTAATTATTTTTATTATATTTTTCAAATTTTTATTTCACTAGAACTATAAATAAGATAGTAAAATATGTCAATTAATTTGAGTTGTGCTTCTGATTCTTTCTTGTGGAATAACTTGATTTAATTTTTTTCCTAATAAGTTTATTTTTTAGTGTTAATTGCTGTAATTTGTGCTTGTAATTTTCTTTTATGAAATATCTTAATTTGATTAATTGATTAATATGTTTATCTTATTTTTTATGAAATTGATTTTAATAGTACTTCTATAATATTTATCTATAAATAAATTAAACTACGAAATACATATGATTTAATGAGTATGAGTAACGTCAAATGCAAGTTGATAAAGTAAAAAAAAAAATAAAAAATTAAAACTACGAAATACATTATGATTTAATGAGTATGAAGTAACGTCAAAATGCAAGTGATAAAGTAAAAAAAAAAATAAACACACACACACACACACATTACATATATTATATAATATATATTATATATATCGTTCAATATTAACATGTATAATAAATTTGGAAAAAAATATATATATATATATATATATATATATATCGTTCAATATTAACATGTTATAAATTTGGAAAAATATATTTATATTAAAAAAAATCTATATCCTAATTAAGTGTAATGATTTTTTTTTTAGTAATTTAAGCACTAAATTAAATTTGATATGTTACTATAATAAAATACAACATAAAATAATAAAAATGAGCGGAATTTTTTATTAATTTAAATATATTAATTTAAATAGAAAACACATAATGCTTACGCAACATACAGATTTTTTTTTTTTTAGATAAAAAGAAATTTCTCAAATTGTAATATGTAAACAATATAAAGTTTGTGGTCTGCACTAGAAAAGAAAAAGACAAATTAGCTGTTTCCTAATCGAATATTTACATTGTAATATAAGAGATAGAAAAATTGAGATAAAAAGTGACCATATTTTGCCAAAACGACAAAAATGTATACTAAATAGCGTACACAAAGCCACACTATTATTTTATTATAGCATATATAAGAAACACAGTGGCCATTACATAAAAGGAACACAAAGAACCTGAAAACAAAACAAAAGCATCAAATCTATTAATTAAACGGGAATTGAATTGGTGACTGATGGGTAAACGACAGTCGCTGGATGTGCCATGATCCTGCGACCTTTCCTGTGTTTAAAGAGGTAAACAAAAGCTCCCACCGGCCACTCTACCACCGCCGCCACGGCAAACGCCAAGAACCCCAGAGTTGGACCAACCACCTTGCACCGGCAAGGGTTGCTAGTGGTGCCGCATTGGACGCATATTGGAATTCCAGCCATACACGATCAAATAAATGTGTAGAACACAAACGACAACACTGAGTATGGAACTGAGGAGCTTAAGTAGAGGCAACAATAACACCGGACGTGTGAGAAATGTAAGAGGTTTTGAGTTTTTATAGGGATGAGGAAGGAGAAGAAGAGAAGCTGATAAGAGTGGGTTGTTGATTTAGGTCGGTGACAACGATACGTGTCAACACCTAAAATTGCAAGTAGCACACGTGGCGTGTTATTTTCTTGCATTGGAAATACATGCTTCTGGCTACATATGTCTGAATCTAAATAATTAAATAACCCTCCTCCATGAATAAGTGTCGCGAAGAATTTAAATTCTCTCCAATTGTGTATGCTCTTGCTTTACTAATGCACCGTTTGTCTTTCCCAAATTCCTCCATGGTAGTTAAAGAATAACATTTCCTAAAGTTAAATCAAATTTTAAGAGTATATTTGGATGAAGGTGAAGAATGATTAAATAACATATCCTCCGATAATTTCAAAGTTTAAATTTAATTTCACAGGTAAAATTCACTTTAAGGTGCAGTCTACTTTTACTGAATTAACATGTAAATAAATTTATTTCAAATAATTTTCTTACTTTATTATTTAATTTTATAAATTTTGAAAAATTTATGGAAGTTTTTATATTTTCTGGATTTTTATAATAATATTAATAATAATATTTGACCGGTTATATTTTAAAATGGGGCAATTTAAGAAATCATAAATTATGTTTTTATATTAACAAGATGTCAACAAACAATATAAAAATTAAGAGAATATCAATAATAGTCAAAAATAAATCAGAAATCCAAAAACTCTCAACTTCGGCAATTCAACCATGACTATGATGACTAACTACTAGCAACAACAATAGCAACAATGATTAACATTGACAAAGGCGACGATAACAATGGCAATCGACGACAACAACAGTGACGACGATAACGAAAGACAACGAAGACAATAAAATGATAAAATGGTTGTTAACCATCGTAATTGAGTATTGAGTGTGATTGAGAATTGTCATCTAGCAATTTGGATTCAAGTAACCTATTTAAGTTTACTGAATTTATAAACCATAATAAAACAATTTTTTTTTAGACAACCATGCAACAAACTTGTTTTAAACATATATAAGCCATTTACTCATGTTTTGCTAACATGAATAACGGAAATGACATTATTTTACTCCCTGCATCTCTAAAAGATAGTTTTTTTTTTTTTTTTTTAATTCCTGCAATCTCTAAAAGATTAGTTTTTTTTTTTTTTTTTAATTTGTCCCATTTTTTTTTTTTTTTTTTAATTTGTCCCAAAACATAGTCCACTTCCCTTTTTTACATTATAGTTAATCCTTAAATTATTTATCATACTTTCATTACATTTTATCTTATTTTTAATAATTCTCATTAATTTTTAATTATTATTCCAATATAATAATTTCTCACATTACTCATGTATTCTTTAAGATAGACATAATAAGAAAGTTATATACATAAAATTGTTTTTTAATCATAATAATAGCTACTTTCTTAATTTATGTAAAAATAAAAAAAAGACTATCTTTTTTAGACGGAGGGATCAAATTGACATTTTTTTAAATCAAAATTTCAAAAGAGGGCATTTATTATAATCTCTCGTTTAAAAGATTAACATTAAATCCAAATACTATATGGGCCATCTCAGTTTGATTGGGCCTCTAAATTTCATGTTAATGCAAGCCCGTAGTAACTGAGTTTATCTAAAACAAACAAACATAGCACTCCACGCCGTCTCACTAGCTGACGCTTAACAAAAGCAAGGCCAAACCAGAAGAGGTACCTAAACCCTCAAAACCTCCGATGACGAAAGAGGGCCAAACCGAAAAAACAAAATCACTACTTTCTTAGATCCACTCTTTCTCTTTTCTCTTCCGGTAATCTCTTCTTTTTTCAATTTATGTTATCTTCAGACCAGTAATATCACTGCAGTCTTATATATCACGTCAAACAGGAATACCAGTAGTCTTTTCTTCTTATTATTTTTTGTTTTCAATTTTGATCTGATTCATTTGTTGACTTCGTTTGTTTGGGCGTTTACTAAGTTGGGTTATTCTATTTGTTACATTTGTATCGAGGGTTTCTTCTAGTTACTGGCTTATAATAAAGTTACTTTTTGCTGGTTCACTTTTCGTTTGATAAAAGTTCTCAAAGAATTCTAGAAGATTTTTTTTTTTTTTTTTTTTTTTTTTTTTGTTATTGGATTAATTGGTTTTCAAACCAGTTGTTAGAATCATGGTTTTTGTATGTGAATATGTCTATGTTTGAGGAGAATCCTTGTGGGGTACTTCATTTTCAAGCATTGATATTTATGGGTTTTCATTTTGACAAATGGATATTTAATATTTTTGGAGATTAGTGCATAAGATATTGAGGTTTCTGTATGGTGGTGTTTCAGCTTGATGAACAATCCAGAACATGCCCTCTCTGTGACTCATTCGCAGATTAAGTTTAATCCCAGCGGTTAGTAAGTTTCTTTTCCTTCATCCTCCAGGCAATCATCCGGACTGAGCATTTTAGTTACTGTTTTTTAAAATGCATTTACATTTTCGTTAAAATGCTTCGGAGGAATTTTTTTTAACCTTTTGCGTAGGTAGTGATATCTGATTCCTTGTGTTAAATTTTTTAAAAACAAATGTTTGTTTATTTCCCCTTTTCAATTTGGATCTATTTAATGATTATTTACCTTTTTGTTTGAGTTATATCTTGGGTTGGAGAAGTAGAAATGCATTCTTAATGTTCGATAAAATGCTTCAAAGGGATTTAATAATAGATAAAGAATTTACATCTTGCAGGTGTAGAGGTGGATTTGTTGCATTCGTAAATCAAATGGAGGAGCAAGCTTTTTTTGATAAAATGATCAGCCACCTTCGCAGCACTTGCAAGTAATTGTTATTTCACCTTTCATTTTCTGCCTATGCAAATTGTTACTCATATTATTTGCAGGATAAAATATCTTCATGACAACAGCTGATCTCACTTTCTTTATCTATGTAATGCATTTTAAGTACTGAAAGCGCATTGTTATTTTTTGGTCTGTCTAATATGAATTGCAAGGTATTACACCGGGTATCCAAAAGATCTTGGGCCATCAAAGGTTGTTCATTTTAAGTCAGAGCGTGAATTTGTCCAGCTTCTTCATGAGGGCCGTCCTATTGTTGTTGCTTTTACCATTAGGTAATAGGAATTAAATGCCAAAATCTTCCTCTGTTGCATTCAATCAAAGTAAAAATAGTAGCTCTAGAATGTTTAACTATTGTTTTTGTGTAATGCAGAGGTAATTATACAAAACATCTTGATAGAGTACTTGAGGAAGCTGCTTCTGAATTTTATCCACATGTAAAATTTGTCCGTGTAAGTTGTTTCATCTAATTGAATTATTCTTGATGATGTAATAAAAATTTTATACAGAACCAAAATGATACAGTTTATCAAACAACCTTGTAATTGTTCTATATTTTGGAAATTACCATGTTGTAGTTGAACCATCTTTTTCATACATATTTGCAAGGTGTAGACTCCTTTGCCAAACTTTCTTTTGGATTAATTTGTGATTCTTATAGAACATTGTGCTTTAGCACCCTTAATCTTTTGTTAATCAAGATTTTTTATGTTTTATTTTTCCAGGTTGAATGTCCAAAATATCCTGGGTTCTGTATAACACGACAGAGGAAGGAATATCCATTTGTTGAAATATTCCATAGTCCTGAACAAGTATGAAGGTTTTTAGCAAATCATGTTTGTTCTTATATTGATATGATTGTGCCATTTATTTGCCTCCATAACCAAACAGTTGCATTAGTGATGCCGGAGCATCCAAATTAATATGGAAAGTTTTTTAGTTTTCCTTCATTAATTCCTATAAAGCATGTTAATTAATTAGGAAGTATTCAATTTTCCTTTTTTATTTAGGATTCCTATGTAATAGAATATTAACTAATATGAATAGCATGAACAATCAGTTTTATATGTTGTATTTTATCTTTTAATTTTGAAAAATATTAATTCTAAGATTTTCTTTAAAATCAATTATTTTATATTATTCCTACTGCAATCACCCTATTGTAGCCCTAATTGTTGAAAACTAATTATCCTACATTCTTCTCCTGTGTCAATTAAGTCATTGTGAGTGCATGAACTAATAACTTTGTAGAAATTATCCTTTTTTCAGTCTTAAAGTTTTGGCATAATATTGCTGTCTTTGGTTGAAGAATAGTATCTTATGCTGACAGAAGCAATATTAGGTGTTTTATCACCTACGAGTGCCCACAATTTGTGGAGGTATTTTGGAGAGAAATCAGATGTGAGAATGGAGAAGATGATTAGCATAAACTTGCTTTGCAATTACAATGGACATTATCCAAACAATGGCCTTTTGATTTATATGCTGGGTGAAGAAAGTGAGACATTTATGACGAGTTAGTTGCAGACATAGACCTAGTATAGTGTGGTGGCTGATAGTGGCAAGGATGGAAGTGGTATTGGTAGTACTAGTGATTGTTGAATTGTTTCTTTGCCTTGTGGTTCTTTGCATAGAGTCGCATCCACTAAGACAAATATTCGAGTGATCCTTTGAATATTTTTTTGTTCCATATTGTTCCCACAGTGACCAATATTAGAATTGTAAACTAGTCCTTTTTCCTCTCTTAATTTCATGTCTCTCTGATGCAGGCAAACAATCAAGGAAGGGTTGTTGATCCAGGGATCACAAGATACTCTGTAAAAGTTCTACCTGTGAGTACAGAATCATGTTTAACCTTTAGAATGTTCGTTGTTCAAATAGTGCCCACATCACAGCACATTTAGCAACTCATCTCATTTAATTGTCTTTAATTTGGACTTGGTCCAGGACCTGAAACATAGTCCCATGGTTCCAAACTGGACCAGAACCAACACTTCATCCCCTCAAAAACTAACTGGACCACCTGGTTCTGAAATGGATTAGAAAAAAAATAACTATTGCAGTAACTGGCTGGGATGAGACCAGCCAGCCTGTCTGTTTCTGGTTAAAAGGAGGGTAACAAAATTGGCCCACAACTGGACAATGCATCGGATATTATTGCCGAGTAATGTGGTATCTGGATAAAATTAAATTTCGCGGACTGGTGAACAAATTTGATGTTTCAGGTCAGAATTACTTCAAAGAGCTGAAACTTAGTCAAGCAAAATTAGTTGAAATTGAAATATGAAACATTTGAAAGTTTTCTGTGACATGTTGTCTTTTTTGTTTTTTTTTTATATCCTCTGGTTGAGCGTTTTTTTTTTCATGTATACAGTTCAACTATGACCTCAGTTCCTATGGATTTCGAGAGTTTTTCAAGCGCCACAACATAAAATCATCAGACCCAAAATAAGGCATGGTGGGGGATTGATGTTATCTAATGTAATGTCTATAGTTTAAAAACCATGTCTAAAATTGTTTACAGTGAGGATCCTGAAATGTCTGATTATTGCTTTAACATTTGGTTTGAAGCTTATACCCACTGAACTTTAGTTTTCATGTTCCAACTGTAGAGATGTTATATGATGCTTAATATTGTGTAAGCATTTGTGAGAAAGGGTCCAACTGTAGAGATGTTATATGATGCTTAATATTGTGTAAGCATTTGTGAGAAAGGGCGCTGTGAAGAGAGACCTTTGGTAAGTGGGCTGAAGCTTCAAGTCCATTAGGCGTCAGCCCATAACCACATTGCCAATAACATGATAAACTTCTACTTGGGATGAGTATTTGGTTCTGTTAATAAAAACCTGAATCAAATTGATTTAATTTCCATTGTTTTAATTTGATTTTTTTTAATAATTTACTTTTATTTCGTTTAATTTTGATTTGATAACAAAAAAAAAAAAGGACTTAATTCTGCATATGGATTTGAATTGATTAGTTTTAGGCACCATCTACATGTATAGTATCAAAATTTTTAATTATAATCTCAATATTCATGTAAATGCAAAAGTTACATGAATTTGTAAATACAATATTAGGTTTTGTAAGCCATTTGAGTCATATTTAAAAAAAGAAAATTTGGAAGTATTTTTTTTAACTATTTTGATATTTTTATAATTATATTTTATTAAAAACAGTTCAAATAGTAGTGCTAATTAAACGCAAAATCAAGTTAAATACAAATATTTAACGAGTGAAATATACATAAATGGAGTAAATTAACTGATTCAAAATTTATCAACGATGTAGTGAAAATGTGAAATACTATAATTAGTTTAAGAAAACGTCAAGACTTCTGAATTGATTTGGGATTACAATTTATATATTCATTAATTTCTTTTAGTTATATATCAAGTATGATTTTTTTTTTTTTTTTTTTTTTGCCATATCATATTTAATCGATAAATTTTTAATTTTTTTTTTTTTTTTTGCCATTCAATATTACATACGATAAATTTTATACACTTGCACTATCAGCAGCAGTTACAACAATTTGAAAGCCCATCGGTATCAATATAACCCACTAAAAAAATGAATACAAATTAAAATTAAATGTGATTGCAAGTTACATGTTTGTGACATTTTGAATATATAGAATATTGATTGTGGTAACTTTCAGAACAATATGATGATCAGCTAGGTGCTTAACTGTGGGGAATTAATTCTGCCACTAAAGAATGGTTCAGTGCCTGTAATAAAAAGGGCAAAAGGCTTTTGCTTTCCTCATCTTTTGGTAGGGCATATGATTCTCTTCCTTATAAAAAAGAAGAAAAAAAGGAATTCCTCATTACACAAAATGAGCCACTCAGGGAACTGCTTTTTAGGACCAACATTCTACAAAGAAACCTGTAATAACTCTTTCTCAATTTGATTAGCAAAATAAATTCCCATCTTTTATCACCACTTCCCTTTTATTTTCCAAAAAGATTTATTTATAACCGATATATATATCTACTAAATTTAACAATGATAATCGACCTAAATAAGAAAATGCGAGTAGTTTTATTATTTTATTGAATAAAATAAGATAAAATAATAATAGAAAATAATTGTTTTTAAATAATTATTGACTGAGTATATAAGAAATGGATGTACAACAACTAAGGATTTGATTTTACTTGATGAGATAAGATTAAAAGAGCCAAAATGGCTACAACATTGATTTCATTATCATGATTCTTACTTTTCCTTTCCCCCTGCTTGATGTTGGGTTGGAAAGTGATAGTAAACAAATATTTTTTCGGGAAAATGCTTCTCTTACAATATATTATCGTTTTAGTAAGGCTGTAAACAAATCGAGCAGAGTTTTGATGAGCTCGAGCTCATCTCGTTTAAAAATAGTCAAGCTTAGCTCGATTTAGATGATTGAAATTGATTTATAATATTATTTTATTACTAAAAGAAATTTTAATTATCCGATCATTGAATAATGTCTTATTATTAATTAATTAATTAATTAATTTTTAGGAATTAAAAGGATGCGTAAAAATCATTGAAGGATATTGCTTAATGATTATTTTATCCCAAGGTAGAAAATGGAATAGAAGAATAATGCCAGGCTAGCACTATTAAAAGGTGAGCTTATAACAACACAGCATGTAAGCTGGACTCTTTTTTTAATTTGAGAATCAATTTATAATAAGATAATTTGTTTTATATTAATTGAAAATTTAATCCTTATCTATATAATCCAGAAAGCAATAAAGTAATAGGAATTTGTGGAATTATTTCTTTCTTTTGGTTTTTATTTATTTTAATTAATTTGGGGCATTGCTTCACATTCCTACTCTTTCAATTCAAGAGCATGTTTGAGCAGCAGTTGAGAATCAATGGTTAATAATCAATTTAATTTAATACTTAAATAATATTTGATAAACTTAATTAAATGTTAAGTATTAATTTTGGTGATGACGAACTAAAAAGAACTTAAATCTTCTTTTTTTTTTTAAAAAATAAAAATAATAAAAGATATTACCTAATCATTTCAGCTTCATTATAATGGGAATAAGCCTACTTTCAATTTTATGCAATGCTACCGTATGGCATGAATGTAAAGCTTCTACAAGGATATATTCTTCTTTTATTCTGTAAAATTCTTCCTTCAAATCTTTGTTATAGATTTTTTTTTTTAAAGTATAAATATTTAGAAGCTACTGTGGAAAAGTTATTATATAGATGTGTCATCCGGTCAGTTCAAATCAGTACCTGATTGAAATTGATTTAAATTTAATTAGACTTAAAACCCGATTGAGGAATTTGATTTCAAATCATACTGAAACCAGATAGAAATTGGCTAGTTTTGATTCTAATTTTGACATATTTCAATGAAAAGAAAAACCGAACCGAAATTGGAAGTGTAATTTTGACCTCAATATTAAATCTCATCAACCTGAAACCGTTGAATTACTGAACCAAAACATTTGATTCAGTGAATCGAGCACCCCTCTTCCATATATTTTATTTTATTTTACTATTTTTACATTTTATTTAGTATTTTTACAAATATAATTAATATTTAGTAATATTTATATATACTCACACAACTAACCTTCTAGTCATGCATGCCTACCCCAAATGACAAAGTGAAAGATGAGATAATAGGGTCCCCTACATTTACAACACTCACATGCAATTCGTTTTCAAAACATTACATAACCTATTGACAAAGTCTTTCATATAATATCAAGTCCTCTCACCATTCAAATTTCTGTCTCTTCAAACAACTAAATTTACCTAATCACCTATACACCTCACCCTTTCTGCAATAATGTTCATCCTCCCGCTTAATCCCACAAGAATGACTTGCTTAAAAAAGTCTATGACTCTATCTATGAACTAAAAAAAAAATGATGAAAATAATTTTTTTTAAAAAAATTTCTATTATAATTAGTTCAGTTTGTGGATGAATCAACTTGACAAGTTAATATTCTAATGCTAGTGACCATAATTAGTTAGGGGTAGTCAAAGTTCAATTTGAAATCAGAATTAGGGTCGAAGCTGAATCTTGTAAAATCGATAAATTTTGAAACCGGAATTAGAATTAATTGAAAGAGAGAGAAAGATAGAATTTTGGTTTTCAAAAAAGTCCAGAGCTGTGATTTATGAGTTGGATTATAAGCTCCATCACTCTTAGTTATTGTTATACGTTTTAACGACTGATTATTATTATTAGACTTTTTTTTTATAATATATGTTTGTGACTAGTTATAAGTATTTATTTGATATTATTATTAAAATGAGGAGGACTATATATTTATAACACTATATATTTAATGCAAATTACATTTATTTTAATAATAAAGTCAAAAATAGATAAATACAGACCCAAATAATATTTTCACATAAATAAATTTTTTAAAGAAGAAACATGAATCTTAATTAATCCGTTTTTTTATCAAAATCATTTGATATCCACAACTTATTTTACTAATCAGAAATCGTGCAGAACAGGTTCATAAGAAGGCACAAACTGCTCTTTTTAAAATTTAAAGGTACTTCAAATCTACGACTCAAAACTGAGACATTTGGAGTTAAAGGAGAAAGAGACATTTAATTAATACCGAATTGATTTTTAATGACCAAAAATATTATTGTAGACCTATTTCAGTTAGCAATTAGAAATTAATATTTGGTGTTACTTCAAAATCCAATAATCAACCATTAAAAATTACAAAAAATAAAAATTTTTAACTTTTATTATAATATCTAAAGGTATATGAACATCAACCTAATAAACGGATCACAATCTTATGTATCTATTATATGCTAAAGTCTCCCTCCCATAGCACTATTATAACCCTCCACTCTTCTCCTCCTCAAAACTCTTCATATATAGTAACTTCTCTCTCTCTCTCTCTCTCTCTCTCTATCTCTCCACGAAATGAACACTCAATTGGTTTTCATGGCGATGCATTTTCTTTTCTTCATTTTATTTTCAGTTCCAATAATCAATGCTACTACTAAAGTTACAAAGAAGATGGACGATCCAACCTTAGTGCCACCAGAACTAAATACTGGAGAAATAAAGTGTGGATCATGCCCTTGTGTGAATCCATGTGCACTGCCGCCCCCTCCACCAACGCCTCCGCCGCCACCACCACCACCACCGCCAAAGACCATATACTGTCCTCCTCTGCAGCTTCCGCCACCGCCGCCAAGGTTCGTTTATGTGACAGCTGTGCCCGGGAATAATTTGTACGTGATTGATCCTTATCGGAATAACTGGGATTATTACAGTAATGCTAATAAACAGAATTCTCTTACAATGTTGCTGCTGCTTCTTTTGACTGGCTTCGGAGTTCTAAACTTCATTATTATATAATTAATTTGTGTTTTATATATAAAATAATTGACGAATGTTAATTGTAATTTATTAAAATATTATATTCAATATTTAAATTGTCTTAGAATTTAAATAATTTTTTGAGTAATATATTGTAAAATAATTATTAAAATAAATCAATAAGATGTTGATTGGGTGCTAAGCAACCTCAAACCCGTAAGGGTAAGAATACAATTTCGACTTCTGCAAATGGCATTTTGCTAATTTTACACTCTATGGTCGATAGATTACACCTTCTGATCATTAAAAATAATAATAATAATAATAAAATAAAGAGATCGTGATTGGATTTGATATGAAATTGATTAATGTTTAATTAATCCATCTACTTTACTTTTTAATTATTTTATATAAATTATATTCGCATATCAACTTTACATTATTTAGCTATACGCCTTGCCAGAGTTTTGGGTGGCAAAAGATTACTTGAAGTATTAAGAGGTTTAGGAATAAGACAAGGCCACAAAACAACATGCAGGACAATTAATTAATTTAAAAGAAGGAAAAACAAATTAATTAAAAGAAAGTCCATCTTTTCAATTTTCTTTTCTAAAAAAACATAGATTTGACTGATTAATGTTAACAATCATTAAACATTAATTAATCTTCATCTAATGTTCTTACTAACACCTTAGATATATGTGTTAGCTTAGTTATAGAAATTGAATTTACATATCATTTTATTGATTATGATTAAGTTTCAAAGTAATATTATAATGTAGGTATTTTTCTTTTTATAAAATTTTAACTTCAAAATGAATGATATTTTTTAATTAAACTGAAGAAATATTCTTAATAGTATATAAATATTTTTTTTTTGGTTTTCTTTATTAAAAAGAAAAAATTATTCTTATAATGTATTGCCTTAAGGATAAGACTTAGCTTAATTGATTTCTTCTTTAGAGTTTTGCTATCCAGTAGAATATTTAAAGTTTCTTATAAACATTAATACAAAAAGTTTTAATGAAAATGGTATCTTGCTCAAGAAAGGAATCAGAATTTCACATAACTTTCCAAAAGATATAAAATTCCTTATTAAACTTAATTTATCAGTCAATTGCATAAGTTTATAATTATATATATGATTTGTGTTTTTTGTCTCTGTCTCTTAACAAAAAATACTGATTTGTGTTTTTTGTCCTCTGTCTTTAACAAAAAAAAAAAAAAAAATATATATATACACACTATAATATTTTACGATTTTTTATTTACAAATCTAAAATAAATTCTTCCTAGAAAATACAAATGATAGACTATCCAAAGTCCAAACAGCATCCAACTTAAATCATATATTATTAATTTTTTGTTTTCAATATATATATATAATCCAAAAATCTATCACACGCGTGTATACATTATCTAGATGATCATTAGAAATGCCTCGAGTTATAAGGTAGATTTGAGTTCAACAAATGACTTCCTATAGTGTTAGGAGTTCAGCATGTGAAAAAATACTTTTCGAAGGATGCGATTATAAATTTCAAAATAAAAATTATTTTTAAACTAAAAAAAAAAAAAAGAATGAGGACAGTTTTTAAAAATTAAAAAAAAAAAGAAAAAAAACACTATGTAGAGGAACAAATTAGAGATAATTTTGTTAATTATATTTTTTGGTAACAGACTCGGACTCAAGATCTTTCACTCTTCACATAAGTGAGAAGATCAATTATACTATCATCCAATTGACAGTAACGTAATATTTATAATACCGTTCAGAGGTTAAATGATTTTTTTTTTTATCATTTCTAACGTTTAACATGTTACAATAATTAATTGAAAATTTTTAATTATTTTATATTTAACAACTATTTTTACTGAAGATTTATGTTTTAAAGTACGACATAAAGAGTTAATTAATAATAATAATATATAACCATTAATAACTGGTATTCTCTCCGTCCTATTTTGTTTACATGGTTTGATTAAACACGCATATTAAAAATTTAGTCAATAAAAATTATTGTCATTTTTATCCTTAACTCATTTATTAATAAAAGTCTTTCATTTAACGAAATGTCATAAAAGTTATCATGGAAAAAATAATTAGGAAAAAATTATATATATATATATATTTAGAAATCTTATAAATATTTTGGGACATTCAAAAAAAATAATAATAAGCAAACAAAACAGGATAGAGAGAGTAAAATAAACAATTATTGTATTAATTAGTAGCTATTAGAAGGATTAGTATTAAGAAGATGGTTTGATCCATAAATGCATTAAAAAAAACCTTTAAAATAAAATTTTTTTCCTTTTCTTTTTATTTTGCGCAGGAGCTAGTTGAAGGTCGTCATCGACTATGAATGTGTGAGATAGCAATCAAAAATGGGTGCATTTATATTTTGAGCAACTATTTTGATCAGCTACTACCTGTCAGAATGAGTCAGTGGTAGCTGCCGCAACTGTCATAAATGAAGTTTTGTCTACCTTACCAATGTAATTCAATTTACATTACAAATACATTTATTTTCATTATATTATTTAAATGTATTTTCAGTGCAATATTTATATTAAAAATAAAAATTAATGTCAGCTTAGTTTTTATTTAAAAATCTGTTTTTTAGTAATGAACTTTTAAAAATAAAATTCATTCATTTGGTTAAGTATAAATAATAATTGCCTAATGTGAGTAAGAATGTTTGATCCCAACAACTTTGGAGGCTTGAGCGTGGCCCATCTCATCTGGCACAAAGCCTGAACTAGCTGCAACAAGGGCCCATAGGGCATGCCCACCTTTTTTTACCATTGTAAATTAATTAATCAAAACCAAAGTTTACCATCATTTAATATTTTAGTTTTAAGAGTAAATTTGTGTTTCTGGTCGGAGTGATATTTATATATAACATTCTAATAGTAACAATTCTAGATTTTAAATCACTCACCTTATATATAAGGTTTGATTTAATATAAAATTTATATCAAATAGTTATGTGAAATGTATTTATATTATAGTAAATGAAAAAAGGACTGTGCATCGCGTGAGTGTTTTTTTACAATCTAATTTAAAAGTTAAATAAAGACATATAAACTATGTCATTACTATACAAAACTAAAATGATCATAATTAAAAAAAAAAAAATGAAGATTACACTGGAACTATACCCAGATTACATTGATAAATGAGTACTCTAATTAACAACAATTCAAAATTATTTAATTAAATAAACTATCCAGTTAATGTCACGACCCGACTCCATGGGCCGGACCGGCACTAGGGCCCAGGTAAGCTTAACGCCCCCGAGGCCCGTAGTAAGCCTGAGACACTAGAATCTATTATCTCGGTATGAATTTCAATATTCTATTATTTTCTACAGCATTCTATAGTTCGGGCCCAGTTTACAATACATCACATTCTAATATGGCTTACAGAATTATTTTGTGTCTATGTTAATTCACGACTAAATATATGTAAATCCTACAACTGCGGAGTCACTAACTCTTTGGTATACATAGCTTTTTATACACATAATTATATAGTGAAATAATTATGGAACTAGGAAAATTTCTCTATTGCCCTGCGCCGAAGAAACATAGCCTAAATCGGATTAAAGAAAAACTTACTTCCTGAAAATTATATAAGCAGAAAATAATTAAATCACCACACAATGCAGTCAAAACAAAATGTGTAAATTATCGATCTAGTCATCCCCGACTAGCTATATGCTCACGCAGCCGGTCGTAAAAAACGCCGAGGGCCGATTGCCCCCCAAAAACAAGAACAAAAGATCCATTAACATCTTCATAATAATCACATCACTGTGGGAAATGTAGTCAATGGAGTCCAGCCGAACCCTGATGGCGCCGTTCCCAACCACATGGCTCATCCTCGTCACATGTGCATCCAGGAAGCCGATCCCCGCAATACTGGCCGACCGGTTAATCCTCACGTTGACCAGCCCCATATATTCTATCCTCTCTTTTCTTTTCATAAAAACAGAGGCAACCGTGGTCTCCACCCAACTAGATCATCAAGCGCTCACTAAGCAGGAGGGCACACCCTGCGGGCTGCGATCAAAATCTAGGACGTAACGGTGCGCAACAGAGAGAAAGCCGAACCTGTGGTTTTAACGTAACGTACGGTAAGGATGCACACGGGGCCGCCGATCTCCCATGTTACCGCGGCTAACGGTATAGAGATATATACCGTGGACGGTCCCACAAAAACCCATGGTGACGCCACTTCATCCCAACTCCCACACCAAACAAAGCCATAGCATATCACAAACAGTTTAATCAAACATTGCAATTAATGCAGACATATTTGATCAACCTACATATCGAAATGAAATGCTACGATTTAGACATTCATACTCAAATGCAAACAAACAATAAATAAATAGAATCAATAATATTGAACAATAACAACAATGATGAAATATAGACGGCCAGGCAAAAATAATCAATTTGAATGAATAATTAAATGAACAATCATGATAATAGTAAAATAATCATAACAAGTTATAGAATTAATCTAAATAAACTTATTGATTATGTTATTAATTAAATCTAGACTAGGTTCTAGCGAAATTTCGGCAGCACCTCCCCTTATAAGTTGGACTATCTACCGGCTCAAATATCCCAATATTATGATATATTTATCAATCAGTGCACACAGCCCATCCGTCGGGCAATCAATCAATTTAAAATCCCATCCTCCTTTCAAAACAACTATATCGACACTCAACCAAAAATTTATAAACGAATTTTAATAATATCCATCTAAAATCATTTATTAAGTCATTAGTTAACTAAATTAATAGCTTTACAGTAACTAATTTGTTAAGCAGCTAAAACATATTTAACAATAACTAATTATAACTACTACCTATTAAAATTCGGTTTTTATATCAATATAAAAAAATGGCTAGGCCTCCCAAATCTTAATTTATTAAAATCTCGACCTTTTATTTCATCAATCCTTGCTTAAGGTATAAACAACATCTTTTAAACATTTACAAAATTTAAACTACTACTAA